TGAGTAATTCAACAATATTTTTCGTGTTTCATTGTTGAGACTTTAATAAGTAATGATATTCAAAGCTTTTGCTTTTAGATTGTCAGATACACCGGACTCGATAAGCAAAAAATCCATTAGATTAAATAAATATGTATATATGCGTACCCCCTATCAGCTGAAAATATGTATCCGGTTCAGATAACGTTTGAAAAATATTTTAAATAAATATATTGAGTTCGAAATAACACTAATAAGCTTATTCAAGCATACTTGGCAAAGAGATCAAGTTAAATAATTCTTTGAAGTAATGGCTGTGTTCAATATAATTGTTTTATTTAGCACAACTTGGTATGCTAACAAACCAGTATATTTATAGTACTTTTTTACATATATAATAAAAGTATTACCCAGTAATTAGATAAAATATTGACATCGTAGGTTCTTTCAATAGCAGAGTCTGGGATTTCGAGTAGCGGCCGGCAAGTGACTATGGCCGCATTGTTGACTAGTATGTCCAATCGTCCATCAGGCGCGTTTAGCAAACGCTCCGCTTCACGATATACTGCTTCTCGATCAGTAACATCGCAAACGTTAGTTTGCACTTTGTATCCTCATGTGCCAAAGATTCAACGGTCTCTTCTAATCCTATTTGATAAATATATGATTAACATATATTCTAATTTATTAGGTTCTATGTAAGATGGTGTGCGAAGTGCTAAGAAGAAAATATATAAAGGTAAAATTTTCATTTGGGGCTTCAAATTTGAATAAATTATATTCACTCGTTGCTTTTTATAGAATACTAACAAAAAAACAACTAAATCTTAATCTTAAAATGAATTTTTTTAATTGTATGGATTTATTCTTCTATATATAGTTATATATTATTGTGTGCTCGTAAATCAAAATAATAGTTAAGATACAACTTATGTACCTGTCTTGTTTATATCCCACAAGACGACTTTAGAGCCTTTCTTGGCAAACTCCTTGGCGAGCTGTCTGCCAACTCCGCCACTACCACCTGTGATGAGTACGACTTTGTCTTTTAAATTGACTCCTGGTCTCAGGCTATCTGGTAAAATGGTCAAAAACAACGATTCGCAAATATACCACACGGACCAGGCTAGAAATACTAATACGTCACGGACTGCTTCCCATATCGTTTCAGGTATGGGCGGAATTCGGTGCGATGGATACATTTCTGTAATAAGGTAATTGTACATGAATGATATTTATATTAGTAAGTTACTTATATTTTAACGGCTTATTACTTTTCAAAATAATATAATTTATCGGTTTAACCTTTTTCAAAGCTACAAGCACAATTACTCACATGCAAACTTTTGTGATGAAGCAATTAGAATAGTTTAAAAATTGTTCATTTTTAAAATATCATCTAATTTAAACAAATCTTCAATCATTTTTCATTGAAGCTCTGTCAAACACAATAATTCAAAGTTTCTAAAGAAATTTCATAGTGTTCTTTGAGTATTTGTGCGTATATGAGTTTTAATTATTAATAATTAACGAAAAGAATCACATTATAATAAGGCCATTTTTTATTAAATATAGTTGTCTTCGAGGACGATATACTGCTTATAGCGAACTTCCAACTTTTCGATATTATTATTTGCAGTACCATTTGCCCTAAAATTCGGCGATCACCTCTTCATTCGACGAAAATTTTTTCACAGCGAAGCCATCCTATTGAGATTTGAGAATAGGTTATGGTCGCGGGGGGGCAGATCTAAGAATATGGTGGGTGGGGAAGCAATTCGTAAGCCAATTCATATATTTTTGCTATTGTTTTTACTGATTTTTGACAGTGTGCATTGTCTTGACGAAACAACACTTTTTTCATCTACAAATGGGGTCGTTTTTCGCGATTTTGACCTTTAAACGCTTAAAAAACGTTATATACACTGTTGGTTTGGCCTTTGTGGTGAATATGACGATGAATATTATTTCTTACGAATCCTGATAAACTAACGCAATGACCATGCCAGCTGATCGCTTGCATTTGTTCTCGTTAATCGCGTCGAGAGCACTCGGCTGACTATTGGACCCCGGAGAATAGTGGTCATATCCATGGTAACATATCGATGCAAAAACTCAGTTTTATTTTGATTAGACAGCTCCAAACACTCTACCATCATCAACTCGTTTAATTTTAGTCAAATGTGAGCTTGCGCGTTAAATTTAAACGTAGCGTTTGAAGGTCGGTACTAACTAAAAATGATATGAATTTAATACTATTGGCACCCTCTCACAAAAAACAGAACGAAATTTTTAGCCGGGCTGGTATAATAATTATTTGTTAATTTATTAACTTCCCGTAGGGCAAGTTATAGTAATCGCAAAAAAATCGAAAATGAAAATTTTTGCATTTCTCGACGTTTCAAAGGTTTCTGAATATTTTGGCATACCTTAGAAAAAATGGATGTATGTGTGTGTGTGTGTGTGTGTGTGTGTGCGTGTGTGTATGTATGTGCGGATACAAATTTTCGTCGACGATTTCGGGAACACCGATCAACCGATTTGAATAATTCAAAAAACATTCGATTCGTATTGATAAGGAGACGTTCTGATTAGTTTTTGGCAAAGTCAGGTCTAGCCGTTCCGAAGATACGGGGCAAAAAGTGCCGAAAACGGTAACTCAGTTTTTAAGAGAACGGAGCGTCCGATTTTAATAATTCAAAAAAATTTTACTTGTATTGACAAGGTGAAGAACCGATCAAATTATCATAAAGGCAGGTCTAGCGGTTTCGCAGATCTACTGAAAAAAGTAAAAAAAAATGCCATTTGCCGGTCAAAAATGATCATTAGACATATGCACATCAAATTATCAGATATTTCATAGAGATTTTAACAATAAGTATAATTTTGGTTTACATTCCTATAGGTTCCGTACCAATGTATACGCGTTAGACGTCGACGCGGCGCTTATGCGGTTTGATATTTCGTCTTTATGCAGTTAAAGCAGTACGATTGCTTTGGAAAAAAGTTTAGATCTTTCAAAATAAAGAAAGCTTTTTTTTCAAAAAAAAAAATTAAAAAAAAAATTTTTTTCAAAAAAAGTAATTTTTTGTCTAATTGTTTGTCAAAAATCTTATTTTTTCGAAGTAAATTTTTTTCAAAAATGTTAATTGTTTTTAAAAAAATAATAATTTTTGGAACGGGAAGTTCTAGCAATTTGCCTTAAGGCACGATGCCTTAATTGCCTTAAGACAGAATTCCACTTACAGCTAGTTTTAATAATTGTATTGATAAAATCGTCCCTATATTTATAGCTGAGCGCAACAGTAAGCGTAAGAGCTTCGTAGTAAAGTAATTCAGTTTTAACCCCGTGTTTCGCACACTCTGATATCAGGCAATATTGATATCCGTTTACACTTAAAAATATATGTCCTAACATATTTCCAAGTGAAAATGGATTTTCTGACCATTGTTGCAATATTACAATTAGATCTGACGAAGTTAGTAGTGTTTTGAAGTAAATAATTATGTATATATCTCAATTAGTGACTACCATCATTGGTTTTCTTTCTAATAGCGTACGTAATAATAAAAGTAATAAGTGTATTGTTCACAATAGCTCATAAAACGCCTAGTTCTGATTGCTGTGTAACAAAAATCTTATAAATTCTTATATAGTTCATGAATTAAAGCATGTATCAACAAATTAATATCCTATTATAATATTATTTCTGTCAGATAAAGTTTTGTCAAAAGTTGTCATTGCGAATATTATATAAACACAAGCAATAGGTTAATTATTATATGGTTAGACAAGATGATTTCTTATTCATGCAAATGGTTTAATTAATTGAAAGTTATTTATAATAATTAAGATTCATAAAATCAAACGGATATTCAGTTGGAATTACCAATATAAATTAATCTGTTAATATAATTTAGCGATGGAAACTAAAAAAATCTTTTTACTTGCCATAAGTATTGAAGTTACAACGTGAACATGTAATAATCTTTCAAAAATATTTTAGTTGACGATGTTGACCAACAACGTATTATATATATATATATATATATATACTTGTTTATAATATTTACATGTCCGTATGTTTACATACATTCAATCGCTGGGCTATACGTGTGGCCTTAAGAGTTTATATACACGGCGGAAATTAATTCAAAGTTAACTTGTGACATTTGTATCATTATATTGTATATTTTTGATATTGTTAAATAATGCGTATGAGGTAAAACAAAATATAAATTAAAGAGAAATGTACGCAATGAAATATATATATATATATATATATATATATATATATATATATTAGGGTGGTCCTTAATATGGACATTTTTGAATTTCCTTGCTCCCAGAGGCTCAAATGCCTCCAAACTCATAAAAAACATCCTCTTTAAGTTTTAGCTCTAAATATTGTCCTTTAGATAGAGCGCAATTCAATAAAAGTTTTGTATGGAAATAGCATGGGAAAATTTTCAAAGATTTTAAAAATGTGTTTTAGATATAACTTAGCGAACTGGCAGCAATAAAATTTGAAAATGTCTATACTGAGGACCACCCTATATATACATAAAAATAAATAAATATATATTAATAAAGTCTAATAATCGGGCATAGCATAAATAAAAAAACATAATTGTTTTTTAAGAATTTATTTTACATTCATACGTTTCGGCTATAATCCTAGCCTTCATTCAGTAGAAAAAATGGTAATCTTAGTTTGTTTTTAATTAACATTAACTTTGTTAATATATATGTCAACATCATTATATATATATATACCAATTAAAGTTTACAAGTTTATTAAAACCATGCATTTAGGTCTACATTGAGTTTGTAATCGGGGAAACTTTCTCCTGACTAAATATTTTCTTTCACTCAACATAAAAACAAGATTGCAATATTTATCTACATATGCATATACTGAGCACATGAGTCGATGTAGAGAAAATGCTTTAAATTATGTAATACATTTTCAGGCATATTTTTTTAAACTCATTTCTATCTTGCGTTAGTTAAATCCAGCTGAAAGTAAAAAACATTTTGAGGTTCTACATGTCTTTCTTGGCATATCATTTTTCCTTAATTTCTACAACAGGTTTACGAATTTTTTAAACGTTTCATCATAAATATTTAATTATTGTTTATTTGCATTGAATGTAGTTATTCTGTATATATCGAAAAATAATTCAGAAATTATGAAGTGACCAAAAAGACTTCGTACATATATACATATATACACACACCCATATATATATACATATATATATATATATATATATATATATATTTGTGTGTTGTGTGTGGCTGTGACAAAATTTGATTCTCATGTGAAGAATTATCATTGAAGTAAAAGATGGGTTCGTTAAACGCAAAACAATTGTCATGCATTATGAACAATTATGAAATTGTAATGTATACAAAACAACGTGTAATGCGAAAAGAGATCACATTGACAACACTTCCAAGAAATTGTGAAATTGTTTCCTTTTCAAAAGGAAGTTTGTTTTTGTGAAATCGCACCTCGGTGTAACTTTTGTTTTCGTATGTGTATGTTTCTTTTGTTGTATTCTTCAATATCCTGTGTAAGATATTTTTTAAATTATCACATTTATTATAAATTGAAATTATTACTTGCATATAAAATTATTTTTTTTATAAAACTTTACTTAAGCGTCTGTAAATCTCTATAATATGGTTTAATTTTCAAACTGGACTTATCTTCACGATTTTCTGTATAATCGAATAAGTGCCTGTGTATATATATAAAATATATTTAATTTAAATATACTATGAAATTATATTAATATTACTTTGTTATTTAGTCAAGTGAAATGATGATAACTGAAATATATTGATCTGAATCAATGCATGTTTGCTTTTTCAGAAGTAAGAAATAACACACACACGCATATATATATATATATATATATATATATATATATTATAATTTGTTCACTATAACAAATGGTAATGCATTATATAAAGCCCGTATTATTTGCTGACCTTCTACAAGTTTTTAATCCGGAAGAAATTAAATGCTATAAAAACTTCCTATAACCAAATATTTAAAAATATCGACCAATAATTCAATCCATCATTTGTCAATAATTTAATGATAATCTCTCCATTTTCATTGCGATTTTTTGTAATGATTTTATAGTTAGCGCAGCTTTAGCTAATTTATGTATATATATATATATATAT